ATCTCGAATGGCTGTCATCATGGATAGCCATGTTTATTGTAGACTCTTTAACTATATTAGTACCTTTGTGCTTTAATCTGAGCCCAAGCCTTATGCAAACATACATGAACTTACAAGGAGTAAATCCATACTCATTGTTGCTAAAGGCCTGACATTAGGTTTTGCTTCCCTTTTCTCATCGAGCATTAGTTATTTGGAAGACTTTGGAACAAACTTCCCCTCAACCTAATATCACAAATATATAATGACATGTAGTTATTTTGTAGCTGTTTTGTAAACTTTTGTAGCTATGGGTTGTTTGTGAGGAGAGTTACCTTGTGCATCTTCAATGTGAGTGAGGTATTCCATTGATTTTATCTAAACTAATATTCTGCACTAACTTGTTTGTTCATGGAGGGTTGAATTGACGGAGAATATTTTTCAAATAAAAAAATAAAAGAGCAATTAAGAAGGTGATTAGACGCAAGATCAAATGTTTCATAAAAACATTACGAGAAATGCATGCATGTGAGATTTAAGTGTTGCAAGATCAAATGTTTCATAAAACAAGAGTGTTCTTTATAGTTGTCCAGCTTCTCAACTCTAAGGCAATTTTAGCTTTTCCGCTTTAGCTTTTAAAATCTCATTTTCCAATCACAATTTTAATTATGCTTTCGTCAAAAACAATTTTTTAAAGATAATTAAAAAAATAAAACTTTGAGAAAGCTATCTTTTTATTTTTTGTTAATTATTTTTCTTAACATGAAAGCATCCTAAATGAAGCCTGGATTTACATCCACTTATTTCTTATTGGGATTCACTAAATCATTATCACGAACTACTAAGAAATCCATTATACACCCTTTTGACTTGGAGAGTAAATCACTATATTTTTCTTGGTTTCATGGTCAAATCTTAACATGAGAAATGAAAGAAAAGAAAGAAGTGCTAGATACAGTGAATTAGATAAAACAACAACAAAGCCTTAATCCCACTACGTGGGGTCGGCTACATGAATCCTTTTTCTCCATTGTCTCCTATTTAGTGTCATATTTTCATTTAGTTCTAATAAATTAAGATCATTTTTTATAGAATAAGCCCAAGTCTTCCTAGGTCTACCTTTGTCTTTCTTAATTTAAGTCGAATCTAAAACATCTACTCTCCTAATCGGATCATTAGATGGTCGACGCTTAATGTGACCAGACCATCTAAGACGGCTTTTTCTAATTTTGTCCGTCACAGGAGCTACACAAACCCTATCACAAATATATTCATTTCGCATTGTCTCTAAGTGTAAAGCCACTTATCTACCTAATCATTCTCATCTCAGCAACACTTATTATGCTTCTCTTTTAAAGGCCAACATTCAACTCCATAGAACATTGCAGGTCTCACCATTGTCTTATAAAATTTTTCTTTAAGTCTAAGCGGTACTTTTTTGTCACACAAAAGGCCAGAAGCATTCCTTCACTTCAACCAACCAACTTGAATTCTAATATTAACATCCCCTTCTATATCACCATCGCTTTGAACAACAGACCCGAGATATCTAAATCGTTCACATCTTTTAATAATTTGATCACCTAAAGTTATACTTTTGTCACTAGAGCTACTACTACTAAAATTACATTCCATGTATTCAGTTTTTGTTCCACTCAAATGAAGACCTTTAGACGCCAATGTAGACCTCCATAATTCAAGTTTTTTCTAGGCCTTTTCTTTGGTTTTATCCACGAGAAGGATATCGTCAGCAAAAAACATACACAAAGGTACACCTCCTGTAAATGTCCAGTAAGACCATCCATAATTAAAGCAAAAAGATATGGGCTTAAAGTCGATGCATGATGTAATCCAACAGAAATAGGAAAATTTGGTCAATCCTCCACTTCAAACACAAGTAACAACTATAGTATACATATCTTTAACGACTTGAATATGTCATATCAACGCCTTTCTTCTCAAGAACTCTCCAAATGATTTCTCTTGGAACCTTATCGTAAGCTTTTTCTAAATCAATAAAAATCAAATGTAGATTCCCCTTATTATCTCTGAACTTCTCCATCAAACTTCTCAATAAATGTATAGCTTCCATAGTAGACCTGCCCGACATAAATCCAAATTGATTATGAGAAATCTTTGTAATACGTCTTAATCCATGTTCATTTACCCTCTCCCATTATTTTAAAGTATTACACATCAACTTAATTCCTCTATACTTTGCACACTCTTGTGCATCCCTTTTATTCTTAAAAATGGGGACCAAAATACTCTTCCTCCACTCCTCAGGCATCTTTTTAGTTTTTAAAATAATATTAAAGAGTTTAGCAAGACAAGAAACTCCCAAATCTCCTAAGCATTTCCATACTTCAATTGGGATATCACCAGGTCCTACAGACTTTCCACCCTTGGTTTTCTTTAAAGCCTCCTCAACCTTTTTTTAGTAATGCGACAGTAAAAATGAAACGTTTATTATTATTAACCATATTAAGATCACTAAAGTCGAACATATTTTCAACAACTTCATTAAAAAATTTATCAAAATTACTCACCCACCTATGTTGAATATCTTTTTCTAAGACAAACACTTTTTGATTTTCATGTTTAATACACTTAGTTAAATCTTTACTTTTCTTTTCTCTTTGTTCGACTAGTTTATACATATATTTTTCACCATCCTTAGTATCTAATCTATTATAAAGATCATTAAAAGCAAAATTTTTAGTGTCACATATTGTTCTTTTAGACTCTCTGCGGACCATTTGATATTTTTTCTAGTTCTATAAGCTTTTACATTTAAACCAGTTTTTATAACATAACTTTTTATATTTTATCTTTTCTTGCACATTATTATTCCACCACAAACTATTTTTATTTAAAGAAACTTTTTCTTTAGAAACTTCAAGTACATCTTTTGTCACTTGTTTAATAGTGCTTATTACTTTATCGCACATAAAATTAGCTTCTTGTTACTTTAATAGTATTTGTTACTTTATTCCACATATCATTTGCTTCATCATGAACATCCCAAATTTTGAAATCTTGAATTTTAGTCATAAAAAATTTTTATTTATGTTTTTTAAGTTTTTCTATCTAATTCTATTATGATGAGTCATAATATTCTTTATTTTACAATTCTTCATTTTTCAAATCTAAAACTAATAAACGATTTTGGGTACTTAAATTTTCACTTGGAATTACCTTACAATCTTTACAATCTCAGCGATCTCTTTTTCTCATAAGAAAATAATTAATTTGTGTTTTATTAGATCCATTCTTATAAGTAATAAGATGTTCATCTCTTTTTATGAACAAAATATTAGTAATAACAAAATCATATGCTAAAATAAAATTTAAAATAACTCTATCTTCTTCATTAGTCACTCCAAAACCGTAGCCGCCATGAATATTTTTAAAATCTTCAATCACTCTACCGACATGTCCATTTAAATCTCTTCCAATAAAAATTCTTTCTTCAAGATGTATCAATTGTACTAAGTCTTCTAAGTCATTCCAGAATTTATCTTTAGACCTTATATCTAAACCTACTTGAGGAGCATAAACACTTATAATATTAAAAATCTTACTATCGATGATAATCTTAAGGGCTATAATTCTATCTCCAACTCTATTAATTTTTACAACATTATCTTTCAAACTTTTATCTATAATTACATCTACATCATTTCTAGTGCGACGCTTACCAGAATACCAATGTTTAAGACCTAATTTATCAATCTCCTTAGTCTTTTCTCCAACCCTTTTAGTTTCTTGAATACATATGATATTAATCTTTCTATGAATCATAATTTCAACTAATCTATGAATCATATTCTATGAATCATAATTTCAACTAATTCCATTAATTTACCATTGAGAGTACCTATATTCTAATATCTTATCCTAATATTAATTTCATTAGTATTATGAACTAATTTCTTTACTTGCATTTGTCCGAAATGCTGGAACTCTTGCTTATTTGATACTACACCCAAGCGCCGGTGTAGCGGCCCTTGCACACTTGTCACTGTATTCAAGCTATACAACTTGTCGCTTCCAGAGGGCCTTAGCACTTACACAAAGATAAAAAAGATTCAAATCATGTTTTTTTTTCTACAAGTTTTACGCTCGCTGTCGACTATCTAACACAACCCTTCACTTTTCATATTCGAGCTTGGGACCGACAATAGTAGTGAGATAAAACGAAGTGAAAAAAAAAGTTATAAAAAGGTTCTTCTATATATAATAAAAAATTATAAGTTAGCTTTGAAATTTTATTTTGTATTAAAATTTTGTCCAAGAATATGTGGAAGTTACCCATGATCATCTCTAAGGTTTTGCGACCTAAAGCTTAGATGGATATGCTGGAATTTAGAGAAGGAAATTGGAGAACAAGTAGGAGTTTGGTGATTTTTTTTCAGTTTGTAAAGGCACAGAAGGTCTTCAACATAGAGCCTATTAAGCGAGCAAGGGCATAAGATGTTAGTCAAAATGGAAGGAGAGTGGTTGGGATTATTTCAAAGTAAGTGTTTAGAAATTTAAGCATGTCATTAAAATGCACCGATTACATGTCTAATTAAGCTCTGGAAGTTTTCTAAGATGACAGATGTATATTGTGATAAAAAAGATGAGATAATGAGTACAGAGGATATGAACTTTGGATGATCAACCATCCTAAAATAAGGAGGATTCCTTCTTCGTTTTAGAACCTGAACTTGGCTAGGCTTAAACTCAATCAGATCGGCTGTGTTTAATTGAACTTGGCCAACGACAGGCTTGGTTGGATGCCCTTTTTTTAGCGTGAACTTTGCTAAACAGCCAATTTGTCTCTATGACCTAAATCAATTTGGTCAGCCAAATTCACTGAACTGGAGGGGGACTATAATGCAATTGAGTGCAGCCTAGAATATTCTTAATTCTTCTAACCTGTTGCTACCTGATTGTTTTACATGTTTAAAGTGAAAAAAGCATCAAACTTAATACTTGAATGCAATTTTTTTTATCTTGGTAAATCTGAGCTACAGGTGATGGAGCAGTGTAAATTCAGGATTCTTTCTTTGAAGCATCCGAAAAGCTCTCCAATTATCAAGTATTTAAACTCATGCTAAGTTTATTTTCCTGTTTATTTTCTCAAAAATGCTTTATCATATCTGATGATATGTTTCCTTTTGTTGAGTTTACTCGGTCATCTGGTAAAAGGCTATCCTTACCCGATGCTGGAATATGTTGCACGCCTGAAGGAGTTACTGGATTATTTCACATTCATGCATGAAAAGACTGCCATTTTGGTAATCGATGCCATCATACCACTAATTAAGTTCAGTAAAGATCTCCGGGTAAGCACAACTTTTTTTTTTTCTGGGTTGTATTAAATTGAGCTTAATGTAACTTGAAAAAACCAGCACTATATCTATCTTTTTTTTATGTTACCATGCAGGATTATATAATTTTGGTTGTGAGGAAGGCCATGTTCAGGCGAGAAGATGATGTCCGTACTGCTGCTGCTAGTACAATCATTGGTTTGATTATAGCGGAAAACATATCAAAGAAAAATGGATTAAACTCTTTGCAAGAATCATCTAGCCAAGCTAGTTGTAGCCAGCAAGCTGGGTTGATTTGCGGGATGGAAGGAAGCCTCTTTCAGGAGTTGAATGGACTGTTAAGGAGGTGTCTCACGCAGCAGGTGCAGTTCTATGATGTTTTATTTTTTTGCTTATGTATCCTCATCAGTTTTTCTGGTATGAATTCCTTGAGTCAGGTTTCAGTGAAGGAGATTGTATACAAGGGCCTTACAAAGCTTGTCATGTTGGACCCATCATTTTTTTGGCATGTATTTGATTTTCTATGGCCTCACTTCCTTCAGTTTTACAACCAGGTGTTCAATCCTTTTTTGATTCGACACATTAACTTTGAAGTCTTTTGATTTAATCTTATTGATTCTTGCCATGCATGATTTTCTTTCTTTTTTAACATGAATTTGACCTCTGTTTTTGTAAGGATGCTGAATATCCCCTCAGGTTAGATGCTTGTTATTTGATAGTGAAAGGAAAATCTTCTCAAATTGAACCTTTGGATCATCTTCTATCATGCGTGTCTTGGGTTGTTCTCCTTCAGCAACATGGAAAATCAGATCATCAGACGGAGTTTTCATTACCATGCTTCGGTTTCACTCTTTCACAAGATAACGAGGTTTTGCTTTATTTTGGCTTTTATGCATGGATTCCTGATTGTTTTAATCTCTATAGTTTTTTCTTTCTCTTATATAAACAAGAGTAGGCTAGCATAATATCATCTGGTGAGCTGTTTCGAAATGCTATTTCCAAAATTCGTAAAACTTTTAGCAAATGGATATTCGAAGGTCAGTTATCTCTCTATACCGCATCCCTATAGTTTCAGTATCCTTCCAAACTCACTTTCTATGGCTTGCTACCTATTCATTGCTTTGAATGAAGGTTCAGGTTCTCATGTTTTTCTAGGAGAGAAGTCTGGCATCTATGGCTGGCTTCTGCTTGGAATCTTGGAGGTCCTTATTAATATATCCGCTATAGAGTTGGAAAAAGCAGCAAATCAAGATGCTGCGAGTCTTGAAAAAGAAATTATGTGGCTGGTTGATTCATATTACTATGTTGAGAAGGAAACAGGCTTGAATAAGCAGGGATCTGGCATTAGAAAAGGAACATCAAGAACCTATGTTCAATCTAAAGCTGATTGTGAGTTGAAAGACTCACCTCAGACTTCTCAGTTGAAGATATTTCCAGTTAGAGGGTCATTTTTGGCTACATCAAGCATCCATGAGATCTTAATTCTTGCTGTAAACTCATATAATTCCTCCAGCTTCACTAAGCAAACTACTTCCCTGAATCACAGTCAGCCATCTTTGTGCAAGACATTGGATCAATGCTTGAAGCTGATATCCTTTGCCTTGAAGATTTGCTTTCATCATTTAAAGTCCTTCATCTCTATTGACTGGGGATCAAACGGCGATCCTTACAAAGCAATAGTCTATGGAGATTTGAAACAGCTTGCACTTCCTATTATGCAGTTGATATGGCTGCTTAAATCTGGAGCCAAAAAAGAGAATAACACAAACAAGAAAGAATCGAAAGGGAAAATTAATCTTGAAAATAAGGGGAATGAGCTTCATCAAGCTTTGTTATGCTTGAATGAATTGTTTAGAATAAGCTCCTTGAAAGCTAACTTAACTGAACTCATTGAGGTTTTAGACAGTCTGGATGCATCTGAACTGAATTTAGAAAATACAGTTGAAGCTCATGACGATATGGAACATAAGCAAGCTGTGATGATTGATGATCCTTATGTTATGAGGCTTCATTTATTCCTAGATAAAAGAGTAAAGCCACTTTTTTCGGGGCTTATCGCTCTCTCTCTTTTCCAGGAAGCAGTGGTAATACATTTATTAATGCTATTTTTCTAGTAGCGGTAAATATTAGAAACTGCTTGAGAGTCTAGAACCATGCAAGTATTTGGTCATATTTGGATGATTCAATTTTAGTTATTCCATTAATTTTTAATCATCCCATTAAAGTTGATCTGTTAAATCGATTTTTTATTTTCAGGTTGTATCTGAGTTATTTTTGATCATTTGGAGGGCCTTGCCATTCGAACAGAGGAAACTACATGGAACTTGGATGATGAATATCTGCAAAAACACGAAGATAATGAATCCAAAATCTGCACAAAATTTGTTAACACTGGCCCTTCATCTCATGCCATCTACAAGTGATCTCATATCTGCACAAGAAATAACTTCAGAACTTCTTCGAGTTATGGGATCTGAGGAAAAGGATCCAATTGACCTTTCCAGATCATATCCATTTGTGAACAATTCAACAAAGGACGCCATTTCTGCTACATTGATTCAATTAATAGAATCTAGTCTAGTTGATCTGGATTGGTCTGTGTCAAAACTGAAGGCAGCCTCAAACTTCAAGCATGACTTCGATCTTTCTACGAGGGATCATCAATTTTCTGGAAGGTTGCCAGGTGTTATTCTTGAAGATGCGGTTCACTCCAGATCCGAAGCACTGGTGTATGTGCTGTCTTTCTTTGCTGAGATGAATCTCAAAGGTCTGCTTTCGTTTAGTATTTACAAATGAACCTATCCAAACTTAGTAAATTTGAAAGTTTAGGTGTTAGGTATGTAAATGCATTAGAATTCTGTGCTACGAATGTAAATTTCCCTTTATTTTATTATTGCAGACTCGCAAGCTGAGCAGTTTCTAAGGCTGACTGCAAAGTTTTACAAGCTTTTGGCTCGAATGACTAAGCTTAGAATTGCTCCTAAGGGATGCAAACAACTGTTACCTGGGCAGAAGTTTCAGAAGCTTGCTGAAGCTGTATGCAGAAAGCTCACAAGTAAATTATACAACTTTGTGGCTCTGGTACAAAAGGTAATGAGTTTAACGGCTAGTCCTTATCTCTGTTGTCATTTTTTTTTTTTCGCATTTACCTTTTGGTAATGTTTAAATGCAGAACCAGCAAGAGAATGTTCGTAGCAGGGGTATTCTCAATAAGATTAAAAAGGAAAATAAATGCATTCCTGACCTCATATTCCAGATTGAAGATTATGAAAGATATCTGATCCAACTCAGCAAGTTGACCAAGGTAAATTTGCTAAGGAACGCCAAACGCAGCACAGTTAGAGATTTTAAGATCTTGGAAGTGAAGAAAACCTCTGCGGAAGAGGAAATTGAGCATGAGCTGGGTTCGATCAGTTCTGATTCTTCTGTGGATGACTCTGGCAATGAATCTGAAGGGTCTGATGAGGACAATGATGCTGAAAAAGCAGCATCTCCAGACCCCATGGGTGAAGATGGTGCTGTAGAGGATTCTGAATCTGATAAAGATGTGGATGTGCCAATAAGAAATAAGAGGACTAAAATGAGCAGGGTGGTGCATGATTCTGAAGATGACACGTAGTAATGTGGTTTTTTCCATCTCTAATAAGATCCTTCAGGCTTTGTTAAGGTAAGCTAGCTTTACCATCAATACTGAAACTCTGCGAATCCAAACTCAGTAAAGCTAGGAATTCTTCGAGACTTAACGCAGGAATATGATCAGGTTGAAGGAATGCTATTTTGATCAGAGAAATTTAAGATATATATCAATATCAATTTATAAGTCCCAGAAAATTGGATTCTCAGACTCAACTGGCCTTTAGTCTTTAAGAACCAGAGTTTAGTCTAACATCTGCATCAAATTGTTATCTAAACAGTTGAAAAAGCTGCTTGCTTGATACTATTTGGTCTCAGTACAACCTTCTCGGACAATCTGCTCAAGTTTTTGTTCATATTATGTTAGTTCGAAATTGTAGGGTTTTTATTTCTCTTATTTTTTAGTTTTTGTTTGTGCAGACAGTAAAATTACTGAAGTTATATCTTTTTGATCTTACATACATGATTATTGTATCAATCATCAGCGGTTATATTACACGATAATGGCTACACTTCTACTTATTATCTGTTTTCTTACGTTAGTTTAATTAAAAACATTCATTAGGTATCACAATATATTATCGTGCATGTATATATATATATAATATTTCTCATACTTGCTAGTTAATGGCTTTTATCTTTTTTCTTCTTTTAATTCATATCTTGTCTTTTTATGATACTGACTTGAATGCTGTCGGCCAAGTATGAGCAATAAATTTTTAAACATTTTTCAAACGACAAATTGTGAAAATTTTTATTGCAGGTGGATGAAGAATAAGACTATCTAGATTAGTATAATTTCAAGCAATATCATCAACCTTATCAGACCTAATTGATGACATTCTTATTTGCTCCAAAGCTGATTCCATGCAGAGTCACAATTTTTCATATTTTGTATGGTAGAAAGTGTTGATTCGATCGAAATGTTGATATTATCAAAGGATTAACATTCTGACTTGAAGAAAATGAAGGATTGCAATGTGTGCAATTTGGACTTGAATCATCTAGATGAATATCAAAATTGCTCGTTCACAAAAAAAATTGCACAAACTCATTTGAAATGTTTAAATGCTTGAAGAAAACGAAGGATTGCAACGTGTACAATTTAAACTTGAATCATCTCGATAAATATCAAAATTGCTCAAATGAGCTTCGTTCACAAAAAAATTGCACAAACTCATTTGAAATGTTTAAATTATCTAGGGGGCGGGAACCCTAGGGACAAGCACAACTTTTGAAGTAGCTCTCGGTCTATTTGTTGTGCGAACGACTGCAACACATAATCTGTTTGGAGTCATTTTAAATAATTAAAATTTAAATAAAATAAAGATAGAGTAATAACTAGCAAACTAGTATTTTCAATTAAAATCTATCAAAAATAAAAATAGAATAATAACTAGCCAGCTAGTATTAGAATGGCCTATCTTGTGCCCAGTCATAGGAATACATTGGATATTGCATACAAAACATTGGCTTTGATATCACTGTATCACACCCTAAGTCTAGAAAATAATACACCCCGACAATGTGAGATGTGATGAAATGATATGAACCTGTTTTGTATTCTCAAAAGAAAAGATTTTATACAAGTAATAGCTAAAATAAGTAATATTAAGATAAATTTTATTTGATCTCGACAATTGATGTAATTGAAGTAAAAATAAGAAAGTAACTAAAAATAAACTGAAATAACAATGAATAACAATGCAAACTCAAAAGAAAAAAAATATAATAACTAATGTAGATTCTGAAAATACAAAAAAATAAATCTAAAACCGGAATGTCTAGTTCCGTGGAGATGGCCCTTTGAGTGTTAGGTCAAACTTGTTATATAAAATATCAACCAATGAGTTTGACAAAGCAAACTTAGTAAATAAGTACTATTTATTAAAGTATAAACAACAAGGATTGTGGCATGTAGTATGAATAATAAAATGAGATGATTTAATATGTGCATATATATAATACTATCAAGGCAATAGTGTTTCAAAAATAGCATTGTGATAATATGAACACGCTCGGTTCTTTTAATGAAATTTGCAATCATTATCAACAATTTTTTTATATTTCAAACAAAGCAAATTTCACAAATGTATGACTTAACAATCATTGATTATTTATTTGCAAGTCTAAGTTATGTTTATATAGTCAATTTTGTCAGACACCTTATTGGGAAGATAAATATTGACTTAAAGAAACTCAATGATTTCTTATAGAGTCGTGATTCTGTGAGCTCATCAGCTCGGCTAACTAATATCCAAAAGGATTTCACCAATATATATATATATATATATATATATATATAACACAAGTATATAATTGCAAATATTTTAATAGATAATTATATAATCAATACTACAAATAATATGAATATCGCAAGCTTGAATATAAAATGAAAGGAATTTGTTGTAAGTAACCGACATAATGAGTGAAAAAAAAAGTAAATGTTACAACTACAAAGTTACCAATCAATGCTTTTATTTTCACATTATGAACCATAAAAGCACATCCTACAACAAATGTGAATAATATAAATGAAATAACAAGGGCATGAATGATAATTCTACAAAGTATCTATAAATCAAATCCAAGCAAAAGAATATTGCTCCTAACAACGAAGGGTAAATTTATTTTTTGACATAATAATTAATCTATAAAATTTAAATTAATAATTTATAATATCATATATATATTATTTCTCCAGTTTAGTTTAATATATTCAAATAAAATGAAATACTTTTTTTGTGTAAGTAATTGAGATAAATTTTGTTTTATATAATTTTATCTACATTTATTTTATTTATAAAATTATTAAATATTGATGCGTGTCAGAAAGTCCGCGACAGTAAAATAATGAATTATTATCTTAGTATTGCACAAAAACCAATAACACACTCAGATAATTAAATAGATGTAAACATGACGAGACACCTCAATTTTTTAATGAAGAAAACTCTAGAAAATTGGAAAAAATCATGGAGTTTAGCCCGATTGAAATAATCCATTATGAATAGTGAGTATACATGTCTACTGTTCTTCTGAATTAAAGAGATGGAGTTACAAAGTTATTCATTATAAATATATAATAATAATTCATCAATAATAATCGTAGTCTTGTGGTAATGATTGTAGTTCTCGATGAAAGCAAATTGCAAGGGTCAAAATTGATTGCTATGGTTCGACAATAGTCCACCATGAATATTATAGACGACCGTAGTGTCTGTTTGCTGTATATGTTGTAGTTGAAAGTCATTATAGTAGTTAGTTGTGTGGGTCACAAATGATTGCTTTAGGAGTGTTGGTTGGCCATAAATGTCGTAATAGGAGGCTGTAAGAGCTAAGGCATGTAGTCCACAGTGTTGAACTGTGATGATGTTCATAAGCTACAAGAGCAAGAGTCGATGACTACACAAGCTATAAGCCACACTGGCCATAGTTAGTCACACAGACCAAAGTAATGAGCTGTGATGATATTTTTAGGCCACAAGAGTCGGAGTAGGGAGTTGCATGAGTTGTTGACATCTGCAGTCCGTAAAGACCAGAGTCCGGAGTTGCACAAACTGTGAGCCACATAGGTCGTCGTTGGTCACACATGCCAAGTTGTGAGCTGTAATGACGTATGTAGGTAGCAGGGGCCAGAGTTGGGAGTTACACGAGCTGTGAGCCACGTAGGGCGTAGTTGGTCACGTGGGCAGTAGTGGCGAGCTATCTTGACTTCGATAGGGCGTAGAGAATTGAGTCAAGAGCCACATGAGTTGTGAGCCACATAGGTTGTAATGATAAGCTATGATGATGTTCGCATGCCGCAGAGGTTGGAGTTGGGAGTTGCACAAATTGTGAGTCACGTAAGCCATGTTTGATCCTATAAGCCATAGTGGTGAGCTATGATGACATTCGTAGGCCATAAAGGCTGGAGTCAGGAGTTGCAGGAGCTGTGAAACTCATTGGCTATATTTGGTCAAGTAGGTTGTAGTGGTGCGCTACAATGAGATATCATTAGAAGTTCGGAGAAAGTCACCACATTCAAGGTGCATTGTTACACTATTTTTGGGAGGCATTATTACATTGTATGTGGAATGCATTGTTAAACCATCAACGGGGTGCATCGTTGCACCATATTTGATGTGCATTGTTACATCATCTCTCGAGTGTGTCGTTATATCGTATTCGGGGTGCATTGTTATCGTTGCACCGTATTCAGGCTGCATTGTTTCATTGTCTTTGAGAGATGTCATTGCACAGTATTTGAAGATGCATTATTATACAGTCTTCAGGGTGTATCGTTGCACCGTATTCAAGGTGTGTTATTGCACTGTATTCAAAATGATTTTTTATACAAAATTTGGGAGACGTTGTTACATCGTATGTGGGATGTGTTGTTTTGCATAATACCTCATTTCTCTGCAATGTACATAGGGATTCCACAACACATGCAATGCTTCTACAAGAAGTTTCATTGCAATGAGTCAGGGGAGATCTACAGTGTGGTGCAAAAGTGATGTTGGGATTCAGTTTAGTCTCCAAACTTCACTTTTTTGGCTCGAGACCCCCCTTCTCAAGATGGGGGTAGGACTGTATTTATTATAGGTAGGACACTTATTTGCAAATAAAGTTGGAATTCAAACCACTTCATCAGACGACTCAAAGAGATTCTCTCGATCAGATAACGTTCAAAGAACATCTGAATGCCTTAAAAATTATGCAATCTTAGGCTTGATGAATTCTTTTCACTGAGACACTTGATTTGATTACAAACATGCAGATTTGGAATTCACCCGACCTTTCAATTATGCACTAAAAACTAAAGAAAATGATTTAACGGCTTGATTTGAGCTTATTTTGATTTAAATTTGACCAATTTGCTGTCATTGTGTACATCATGTCAAACCAATCAATTTGATTATAAGTTTGCTATAATCAAAATTCTGAATGAATTTTAATTGAAGTAAGAACGTTTCCTGCTAAAAAAATGCCTTTTCACATCCAAGACGTAAATTTGTTGATGGCGTATTATTCTGAAGATAAAATTTGTCATAACTTTTTAGATAGATTATCATACTGATGTATTCTAGTATATTTTGAAAAAGAGTTGCATACATCCCACCAATTCTTATATTTTATATATCTTATTTCTAAATTCTCATATTTAATTTTATAATATTTGGTGTCATGATTCTATCCATAAAAATACTCATTTTACTTAATAAAAAAATAATAATAGTAATATTTTTAATCTGATATTAAAATTTAAATATTGCATGTATATAAATATAAATATTTAGATGGTACATATATAAATAAATAAGAATGGTGTGGTTGTATGTAAATGTCTCAGAAAAATATCTATATAAAAATATATAGATATGCTATGTGGAATGCCCACAATCCCAAGTTTATAGTTCATATATTTCTAGCATAATCTACAAGCCTAGGATCCCACTTGTACTGACCCCACCAGAACATGCATTGTCATTGGATTTTGATTTTCGGTTGGCTTACCGTCTCCGTCATCTTGCTTCATGAATAGTCTCGGTCGCCAGCTCCCTAAGCTAAACGGTAAGCGATATCCTATTCTCCAGGAAGGTTACGACACCTCACCGACCTCTGCTGCCTCATACAATTTTTCTCTCGGTACTTCCATGTAGAAAGCAGAATAAGCCAGATCGTCTCCTTCCAACTCGTAAACTCGAGCCAAAGCAATTGCCGTTAAAGTATATCGGCCAAGAAGATGGCGGAGGAGAGCCGAAGAGCAGGCGGTGGCATCCCAGGCGGAGGAACATTGCAGCAGGGAGGAGTCAGGGGTAGCTATTATGAGGAAAAGAAGCCGGCTTTAGGAGCTGATCAGGAAGTCGCTAGAGCTAAGAGGGTTGTGCTGAAGAGTGCGGACATGAAGGAGGAGGTGCAAAAGGAGGCTATCAGCTGCGCCGTCTCTGTATGCTCCTTCACTCTTTCTAGTTTCATTCTGTACCGATCTGTTGGTTTGGTCTAGTTTTTGATCGGATGCTGAACGGAGTTCTTCTTTTCGCCGCGAGGGTTTAGGCGTTCGATAAGCATGCTGTGGACAAAGACAGAGCAGAATACATCAAGAAGGAGTTTGACAAGAATCACGGTCCAACCTGGCATTGCATCGTTGGTCGAAACTTTGGTAATCTCTCCTATAGTTCTTCGTAACTGGTTCCTGGAGTCTAGATTTCTGCATTTTGGTGATCAATGTTCCATTTTCTATCAAGATGGTTTTGAATGGGGCCTATGGGATGGTAAGTGGGTTGTTTAAACATATCCCTAGCTGAATAATTGCTGGATGAATTATATGGCTTGTTTTTGTAGCTTTGTCAAGTTGCTTCTATCAATTGTGGGTTTGTTTATACGAGATAAAAATTATAAGGTTGGCGGCATGGGCTCCTCACTGCTTCAGGTTTATGGGAAGATTTGTTGGGGTCTGTGCGGTTGCATAAAGTGATAGATTGTAGCAGTTTATCTTCATATGGTGTTGGTGACATTGGCTAGTGATTTTTGTTAAAGGAATGAATGAGTTAAGGGGAAGGAGTAATATAAATTGAGGGCAAGGGAGTGTTCCATAACTTAATTTTGAGAAATTATTATGGCATTAGTCATGGAGAATGGAGATGGAACTTTAAATTGATGCGATTTCATGATGTGAGGATTTAAAGCAAGAGACATCAATTTCAGATAACATGATCATGGGTTGTGGGTAATGGTTTCCATCAAGTAGTTAGGATATGGTTGTTGATTTCTTTTATGGTATCATTTTTGTATCTATTATGAATGTAGTTACTAAAAATATAGCTGTTAATTGTAACTTTTTTTTTAAAGAATTTGAAGCTGTATATAATCCATCGATGTTAAAATAACGGAATCAAGCAGTGTTGAATCCATGGATGAAGTTTTTGAGCTACTTGGTGCTTTTTTTAGCCACACTGAATTGCTGTGCATCTTTAAAATGTTGACACCAATACATATGCTGTAGAGTTGACATCGAAGTGAGCTGTAATTTGGTGTAACTGGCCTAGTTTGTAGTCTAGAGAGAGTTTCTAATTACAAATTGATGTGCTACAACTTGTATTGGCGCCCTCAAAAAATTGTCTTTATTCTGCAGAGATTTTGAAAATTATATTAAGATGGCTAAAAATGGTAGAGCAATTTGTGAATTTTGTTAAGACAATAAATGTATCATAAATTGACAGTCAATTTTTATCATATAAAAATTTTGAAGGTTATGGGGAAACCATCATCAAACAATGATGGTGGTAGATAGGACATGTCAGAAGGCAATGTCTTTTTTTATCACTAGTCATATATGCTGAAGTACTAGAGTTTAAAATCCAAAATTTGCCAAACGAAGCAGGGTGCCAGTGTCTGTAGAACTTGAGGATGAAATCACATGAGAAGCAAATATTGATGTTTGAGGGCTTTGAATATGGAGATTATAATTCTTCGAGAAAGATTAACATATTTGAAAGAAGTACTTAAAGTGAAATGCGAATAATATACATAAAGGAGCGAAAGGCATGCTTGTTTGTGGATAGATATTTGAACTTGGCCTAACAACATTCTTGATGATGATTTGTATGGCCACAATGAGATGAAGGGAAAATGGCTCTTCTTCATTTTCACGACCACGACCACTATTGATCTGGCTATGATTATCATAATCATCATACCCCATTTTAGGGGGTGTAAATGAGCCGAGCTTGAACAAGCTCAGTACTTGTTTGTGTTGGGCTCGTTTGAATTTTTTTTGTTTAACATTTCCGTGTTCAAAATGACTCATGAATAACATGCTCATATTTGACTCAATTCGAATTTATTTGTTTTTTAAGCTCATATTCGGTTCAATTTTATCTCAAATAATTTTAAAAATAATAAAATTAAGTTTTTTTCTAATAAAACATAAAATTCTTTATAAAAATGTTATAATAATAATTATTCATTTAATTAATTTGAGTCAAAATGAGTTGAACACGATCAAACAAATATTTATTTATATTCGGCTTGTTTATAAATTGAGCTTAAAAAACTATTTGTGCTCTGAATTTCTTGCTTAACCTACGAATCAAAATTGAGCTCTTCATGAACAACAAGCTTTGTTTTAATAGTTTTAATCACTATGATGTCTCCTAACAAGGTTAGGCTAGTAAAAATTGATGCTCTAGGTAACCCAAAAAGCCTCAAAGAGAGTTGTAATCTTGGGGCTTGGAAAATATGCCCTTATTTGAGATTGTGTATGTTGGAGTGGGAATGAGTTCAATGAGAAATTTGGGAACACAATTTATTTCATTCTTTTTTCATAGACATTGCCAAATCTGTAGTAAATACTATTTATGGTAGAAGTACATAATTCTCAGGATATTGTATTATAGCATTCATGGGCAGTCTAATCATATTATTGGAGAGAAAAATCTTAAATTAAGATGTAAACAAAGGCAAACAATTCAGTTGGATGCGTGCTTGTAAATAGCCTGAAATAGTGCACATGCTATAGTTATATCATCTTGAGGTGCAACTCATGCTATTTGCATAGAAAAGGTGTAGAAAGGCAAAATAACGTGCTCTTTGTGTTATTGTGCATAACATTTGTAACACATGCTAAATTATTGGTTTAATTCTTTTACTATTTTTCATTATTTTGATTTAGATGTACTAATATGTGGACTTAAGCATGAGTTATTTAAATTACATGAAGTATATTAGGGGCTTGATTTTGAGGTACATCTATCATGAAATGCTTGGTCTAATTGTTTTGATAGACATAGTTGATGCTAATAAAATTAGATGATGAGTTAGAGGGTTGGATAAATTAGTATTTGGAGAAAAAAATGACATGCAGTAAAGTTTTGAGAGTTAGTAGTGTATTTGAAAGAAATTTTAAGATTTATGATTGATCTAAAAGAAAGGAAAAATGAATTTATATTTAGGTTTTTACATAATTAAAGATGAACATAAAAATTATGAGCGCAATGAATAAGATTATGCTTTGGAAGATTAGTATGACGAAATGAGTAAGATTATTTTTGTTTATGATGCTTCTTTTTAAAATGAGTAGTTTATTATTATTATTTTTAATGTAAATTTTAAACTAATGGACTATTTCTTATGTTTCACGTCAAAATTTTAAAATATTTTTTTAGGATATCATCCATCTTTATAATTTTTACATGTCAGAAGATTTGTGTTGGTAGAGTGATAATTTAATGTCTTAGCATTGAACGAATAACCAACACACATACAAATAAATGAAAAGTAGCAGGAGAACACGCCTAAATTTTTACATGAAAAATCCCTAGAAAGAGAAAAAACGAGGGGGTCTAATCCAGTCAAATAATCAATTGTGTAATTTTAAGTACATAAGTTCAATATTCTCCTAAATTAGAGAAGATGAAATTACAAAGCTGGTAATTAAAGATGTACAAAATTAGTTTAGTCATAATAGCCACAAGTGAGCTACAGTAAATGTGGTTCTTGATTGCAATAACATAGTTAGCGCCACAAAGGCTGTAATTAGTTGCTATAAAGGCGGTAGTTGACCATAAAGACCGTAGGCGGTGGTTGCAAGAGCAATAGTCGGCCACAAAAGTCATAGTTGAAAATCATAACAATAGTAGTTGGTCACATAAGCTATAGTTGGTGGCTGCAATATCATCAGTTGGTCACAGATCATAATTGATGTATGCAGTAGCGTCAGTTGGTCCTCATGGTTGTTGATTGCAATAATATGAGTTGATCATAGAGGCCATAGTTGGTGACTGCAATATCGTTAGTTGACCACATAGACTATAGTTGAAAGCTGTAACAGTAGTAATTTACCACAAATACCGTGGTTAGTGGCTACAATAGCGAAAGTTCGCCATGAAGGATGTAGTTGGAAGCAGTATTATGAGTAGTTGACCACATAACCTGTAGTTGGTGATTAGACCCATTCTCTCAGAGAGAATAGAGCTACAATTTTACACCGAATACTGCACTTGTCTTTATACAATGCAAGAAAAAATATGTGTTTGGAACAAGTGTTGTATTTTGGCTACTACAGTCGTAACAATGGTCCCTGACAATTGAAGGTTGGCGATGGCAGGCGGTGAAAGCCGGCGATGGCAGACTGTGAAAGCCGGCGAAGGCTGACGGTGGCCAAAGGGTGGTTGTGATCTTGGTCGGCGGCTATGAAGACAGAAAGTTATTGCCCGGTCTTCGATACAGGTGTTATACTTTACAATTATATTTGGGATACGATGTTTGCAAATAGGGATCATTAGTAGCAGGAAGTCGACAATGGCAAACAGTGACGATCGACGGTGGCCGGTGGCCGGTGGCCGCGAAGCTCGGGAGTTATTGCTAGGTTGTTAGATTAGAATGGGCTCTGGAATTCTTCTTTGTCTTTCTATCCATTTCAAGTGAAGGACAAAATGGGCTTTGGGTTTATTTATAGCCTGTTGCTATTGGAAAAACACTCATTAACGTCAAACAATTCTATAGGTAATAGGGTTAAATTCTGATGCAAAGCTCTATTATCTACAAATTTATGGCGAATATAGTTTTGAAGCAAAAATGCGGCTCATAAACCTATTAGCGTTAGAAAAATTTCACTATAAAATTTGTGTGGGTTTTGCGTCAAAATATTCCATCATAAGAGATGTTGGCAGTAGAGTTTAGTAGGATCTTGCTAACGTCATTATTTGTGTTAGATTTTATCAGATGTTAGTTTTCATCGATAAAATCTGACACAAATATGTACTAAATTAAAAAAAAATATATGAAACCAATCAAATTTTTACACTTGCATTTCACATTTAATTATCACAACATCGATCATAACTCACAACAGGTTTAAGCAACATATATCGATAGTGCAAACAAATGGAATCATCATATATAACACATAAAATCTAATAAATAGTTCATCCAACATAAACTTCTAAAATTTAAACGAAAAACATATTTATAGAATGTCATGTTTAGATATCAAATAAGAAAGAAAACAAAAAACCCTTGCGGGGTATCATCATCATGGTCATCCTCATGCATGATACTAAGAGGTCATTTGCCATGACAGCCACGCAACAATGCTCTCAAGCTTGTAATATCTATGCTCCCTCTCACAAAGCTCCTTAATCAATGTGACATCAAACCTGA